AGCTGATTATCATGAATGCAGTAGAGCAGAAGCCTGTTAATCAGCTTTCAATTAAAATCAGCTGTGCTGGAGCAAGGAAACCTCTAAAACCTGCAGGACAGCGGCCCTCGAGGACCGAGTTTGGGGATGCCTGCTCTAAGGGTTCCATCAGGTTCCTCTTAGGATTCCATCAGGTTCCTCTAAGTGTTCCATCAGGTTCCTCTTAGGGTTCCTCTAAGGGTTCCATCAGGTTCCTCTTAGGGTTCCTCTAAGGGTTCCATCAGGTTCCTCTTAGGGTTCCTCTAAGAGTTCCATCAGGTTCCTCTAAGGGTCCCATCAGGTTCCTCTTAGGGTCCCATCAGGTTTCTAAGGGTTCCATCAGGTTCCTCTAAGGGTTCCTCTTAGGGTTCCTCTTAGGGTCCCACCAGGTTCCTCTAAGGGTCCCATCAGGTTCCTCTTAGGGTCTCACCAGGTTCCTCTAAGGGTTCCATCAGGTTCCTCTTAGGGTCCCATCAGGTTCCTCTTAGGGTCCCATCAGGTTCCTCTAAGGGTCCCCTCAGGTTTCTCTAAGGGTCCCCTCAAGTTCCTCTAAGGGTTCCTCTTAGGGTTCCATCAGGTTCCTCTTAGGGTCCCATCAGGTTCCTCTAAGGGTCCCATCAGGTTCCTCTAAGGGTCCCCTCAGGTTTCTCTAAGGGTTCCTCTTAGGGTTCCATCAGGTTCCTCTTAGGGTCCCATCAGGTTCCTCTAAGGGTCCCCTCAGGATCCTCTAAGGGTTCCTCTTAGGGTCCCATCAGGTTCCTCTAAGGGTTCCCTCAGGTTCCTCTAAGGGTTCCTCTTAGGGTCCCATCAGGTTCCTCTAAGGGTCCCAACAGGTTAATTTAAGCTTTTATGGACCTTCAAAATAAAACCGTTGCTGCCTCCATAACCATGGTTCCTTTAAGGGTCCCATCAGGTTCCTCTTAGGGAACCTCTAAGGGTCCCATCAGGTTCCTCTAAGGTTTCCATCAGGTTCCTCTCAGGGTTCCATCAGGTTCCTCTTAGGGTTCCTCTTAGGGTACCACCAGGTTCCTCTAAGTGTCCCAACAGGTTCCTCTAAGGGTTCCTCTTAGGGTCCCCTCAGGTTCCTCTAAGGGTCCCATCAGGTTGCTCTTAGGGAACCTCTAAGGGTCCCACCAGGTTCCTCTAAGTGTCCCATCAGGTTCCTCTTAGGGTCCCATCAGGTTCCTCTAACTGTCCCAACAGGTTCCTCTAAGGGTTCCTCTTAGGGTCCCCTCAGGTTCCTCTTAGGGTCCCATCAGGTTCCTCTAACTGTCCCAACAGGTTCCTCTAAGGGTTCCTCTTAG